TTATTGTAAATGTCCTACTAACCTGTATTGAAAATGTTTCACTATTCTTTTTTCTCATTAAAATGAATAAAAATTTTAAAAAATAAAATAAGATAAAAGATACTTTACCGTGTCTTCTAAAAAAAAGAAAACAACATAGAAGACACTGCCTTCTGGTGGGATATATTTTCTTTTTTTTTTTTAATGTATTTGGTGGTTGCAGGGTCTCACTCTGCAGCTTCTACTTGTGGTGGTCCTCCTGCTTTCAGCCTCCCCAGTGCTGGGATTACAGGCATGTGCCACTATGTCTGGACTCTGGCTGGCTCAGCCCACCCTGGGGGCAGGGCTGGCATGGCATGTGGTGCCAGGGATTGAACCTTGGTCCCTGCTCTTGCCTAAGCAGGCGATTAGTCTGCTAACCTATCTCACCTCCCCCAAGGGGAAAATTTTCTACAAATCCCAGAGTCTGTGTGTTTCTAAGACCCAGACAGAGATCAGGCTGTCCACTACCTTCTATTGACTCAACTGCTTTATCTAACTGAAAGAAAAAACTTCAACAAATCTCATTGTTTATGTGTATAAGTCCTGTTGAATTGTTTGATTCACTATTTGGAGGCAAAGTACATTCATTGTCTAAATTTGGAATATTGTGATTGCCTTTGTTTCCTTTTACTTTTTTATCAGGGATAAAAATGTAACTGAGAAGAAAAAGGTTCTTTCATAGTTTTAAACCCAGTACATCTTTTTTTAAACCAAACACCCAAGAATAGATCATTTAAAAACTTTTCAAATATATTTTCTACTGTCAAGTGGCAAACAGCAGTGTAGATGTGCTAAATTCAATAGAATCCAGACCTTAGAATTCAGCACATCTTCATCTTGCTTGTAGTTTCAATAAAAGAACATCCTAAATCACATTAAACTAACATTATTTTTTTCTGGGAAGGGGTGCACATTTAATCTGCTAATTTGTTTTGGTTTTATAGTGATATAAAACCTGCAAATTTATCTCTGTTTTTTAAGCTTTAGTGTTTTGAGAAAATGTTAAATATAAAACATTATCATAGAAGTTCTTTAAGTCACTTTTGGAGGCCTATAAAAAATGGATTCTTTAGCACAGTCCCATAGACTACTTAAGTCTGAGAAACAAGCAAAGAAAAGTAAAATATGGTAACCAATTCATTTTTCATTTTGTGAAACAAAGTTTATTCCTTGAAAGAAAACTGATACACTGGCGCTCCCCAGCATCTGCCCTTTGCTGAGAGACCATCATATAAACCAATGGCACAACAGCCACTGACCCCTAGAGAAAGGTGCTGGGCGAGGCCGAGGAGCCCACTGACCCCCCAAACACTCCTTACTCCTACTCTCCCTCCTCCTCCATGCACCATTTCCTGTTTCCTGCATGCAGACGGTTTGAACACCCAAAATAGCTCATTGTTCTAAAATAATTTTCACAGATAAGCTTTTGCAAGTGAAGCAAGGCAGGAAGGATGCTGACGACCACGCAAGGAAAAGCCCACAGCTTCTGCAGAGCCTGCTGTCTGCCTGTGTCAGAGACTATAGCTGAGACTGCTGAGAGCCGCAGCTCGCACAGCAAAGACATCCCAGACACACACCTGGGTGCCCAACACTGGTCTGTGTGTGTCTGCTACTTTCCTGCTGCAAACCTGGCAAAGGCTTTGACCCACTCCTAGCTCTAAGCAGCGGGCAGAAACAAAAAGGAACAAGGCCTTTTCTTCTTTTTCTTTTTTCTTTCTTCCTTTTTTCGAGACAAGGTCTTGCTAAGTAGCTCTGGTTGGCTGTTATGTTTGATACGTTGCATCAAGTTAAGTTTAGGTTAACCAAATGGTTCAGCAGGGGTCAGAGTCCTTACTCTGAAAACATCCTGAGCCTGTGGAAATGGTGTGGGTCTAAAGGGCACGCCCCCGGGGGCGGAAGCCTGCATACTCTAAAAGGGAAATGAAGAAGGACATTGCTGGTTCTTCGGAGAAGCTCCAGTCTTTGCCTTCAACTTGCTCATTGTCTCCTAGCTTTTGGCGCAGGCTCTCTGGCTCCTGCCTGGGACTCTTCAGCCTTCCGATGTAGGCTCTTCAGCCTTTTGGTAGATTCTTAACCACTCCATCACAGACACGTTGGCCCCCTGATACGGACTTGTA